ATTTTACCTTCTGTCCCCTGGAAGGCTCGCCCGTGCTTCTGGGCACCCCAGGGAGTCTGCCGCGCTCTCGGGGGGAGTTGGAGGCAAAGCTGGACGTGCCTACAACAGAGATGTGCGAGTTGGCAGGGGGCACGAAGACGAACTGGAGCCGTAAGCGACTGCCGCCTTGGCTCTGCAGAGGAGATCGCTTTGGCTTGTATGCATCAGGCACGTTTCGCACAGCCCCCCCCAAAATAGTCTTGACAAAGCTCTGACGAAGCAGGACCTGAGCAAAACCCTTCTGAAGTTGACAGCTACTCCCCTCTGCCTTTCTGCAGGTATTTGGCGGGCATCTTGTTGGATGAAGCACGTGCCCAGTGCGTTTGAGAAACAAGCGTGCCAGCTTTCCTTACTACGTATCATCCCGGGGCGCGGAGGAAGAACCCAAACACGCCCCGGCTCTGCTGCCAGCAAGAGGCACCGCAGCCGCTTGGCCTCCTCAGAAACTCCCCTCCTCCACCAGACACGCCGTCACAGTGCCTGGGGAGCTGACGTACCTCTGCCATTTCAGACTCCAGCGCCGTGTCTCCCCCAGCTCCTCTGAGGACACCGAGCAGAGAGCGGGGTGCACGCGGCAAGTCTGCTGCCTGGTGCTCGGTGTCCGCTGTGACTGCAGGGACACTTTGCTCCTCCAAACGCAGCTCTAGAAAGCAAAAGCACGTGCAGCAAAGCGCCTTCTTGGAAGTAAGCGGCAGCTAAAGCAAAGCCCACCTGAAGCCCTACACCGCGTACGGTTTCAGCCCTCCAATGCCCTGTCCGCAGGCTTCAGCTCATCTTGCAGAGCAAACCCTTCATGCCCCGAGCGGCAGTGGCCAAACAGAGGCCAGGGGACAGGCCGGGCTGAGAGGACCACGCCCGATGCCCAGCCCCGCCAGGAACGGTGCTGAGGTTTCTGGCATCCCAAGCGCCAGCCTGCGAGAACCCTCAGTCCCTCCTCTTACCTCTGGATCTCTCCGTGGGGGCTGGCGACTCCTCGGCTGGCGGGCTGGAAAGCTCCCTTGCCTCCTCCCCAAAGAGTTCCCTGCAGTTCTCCATCACGAACTGCACCAGCCCCTTCACCTGCACACATCACAGCCCCGGTGTCAACCCAGCTGCCTGAAAACGGACCAAGCAGGCTCTCCCACTCCTGAGCCTTGCCTCTGCACAGCAGGCTGTGCCTGTGGGGCTGCTCTTGCAGGCAGCCACCCCACCGGCCCTTACTCAAGGCAGGAGGCAGCCAGGGACCTCTGAGCAGCCACGGCCCGACGGGCCGGGAAGGCCGCAGCTGGCTGCTCCATGGAGCGTACCTTCTCAGTCACCGCCAGCATGGCCTCCAGCGGGAGCAGGTCCTCGTTGGGCGGGCTCAGCAGGCTTGGCCCGATGCAGATGGCCAGGTTGCTGGAGGTCATCCTGCTGGTGCCTGCGTTGCGGCCGATGTGCTGGAGCAGGGACAGCAGCCGCTTGAGCAGGAGGAGATTGGCCGCAGGCAACTTCTCGGCCACCCTGAGGGCACAGGAACACGAGGGTCATAAAGCAGATGCTGCCCGCAGCCGTCCCCCCGACTTGCCCAAGGCAGGTGGGAGCCAGCGGCTGTGTTGCGCAGCTCTCCAGGGCTCTCAGCCAGCGCTCAGGGCTCCTGCTCAACAGGCAGGCTGCTGCCCACGCTTACGCTTTCAGCTCCGAGATCTTCTCCTCCTTGCTGCTCTGCTGCATCGCTGCCATCCAGTCCTCGTAGAGGTTGTTCACGAGGAGCTTGGAGGGGATGCTTCGGAGGAAGTCCTGCAATGCCAAGGGCTGCAGGTGAGCCTTTGGACACTCCAGGCCAGCCAGCAGCTCCTCCAGCTGCAGGTCAGAAGCCCTCACCTTCAAGACGACGGCCAGCAGCAGCGCGGGCTGGCTTCCCATGTCGACGTCGGCACCGCGGTCCAGGGCCTCCCGCAGCTCCCGGCAGGCTGCCCCGCTCTGAGCTCTGCGGAAGATGCCCTCCGTCGAAGGCCCTTCCTGCTGCAGGACAGCCAGCAGCTCCTGCAGGAGAGGCAGGAGGACAGTGGCTTGGCTGTGGAGTTGCCTTCCAACGGCGCTGGCCAGGGCCAGAGCTCTGGCCCAGACCTGGCTCCTTGCTGGGGCTGAAGAGCCCAATCCCCTGTCCCTGGAGCTCCTGGGGACACCCACCACCTCTCTGGAGCAGC